CCCGAATTCGACACTGAAAAAGTTTTTGTAAATTTTTTACAAAGCTATGAATTTATCTTGTAATTTTTCGCGTAAAAGTCCTCCAGATCGTCAGTATTTTTAAATTAAAACTCTACAAAACAGAGCGTTTTTAGTAGAAAGTAAAGCAAAAAAAATCACGCTTATTCTGTTCGATTTTTTTATAAAAAATTGTTTGGTTTTTGTTCAAAATTCAAAGTTGGAAAGGGATTTCAAAAAATATTTTTTTCCCGGAAAATCCCTTAAGATTGTCAACATTTTTAAGCGAAACTTTAGAAAATTGAGCATTTAGATGAAAGAGTAATTTGGCTAAAACTGGAAAATTCTGAAATTTAAAGACATTTTTAAAATATTATTAATAAATGCCCTTCAAATTAAATCTAAGAAAAGTTGAAAAAAGTCATCAACATTTTCCCAGTAACGGACCTGAGTTGCTGCGCCAGTTCGTTGAATTGGCGCACCAAGCCATTTGCGCAGCACTGCGCCAACTCCTAAAAATTCACTTCAGAGTCATTTTTGACTGAAAATACCCCATTATTGTCAAAAAAGAAGAAAATCATCAGAAAATAATGCTTTTTTGCGTTGTCAATTAAAACTTTTAGTTTTGTGATCGATTTTGGAGAAAACCTTAATGGTTTTCGGGAAAAAACGGTAGGGATTTATTTTCGTTTCTGTCCCGAATTCGACACTGAATAAATTTATCTTGTAATTTTTCGCGTAAAAGTCCTCCAGATCGTCAGTATTTTAAAGTGAAACTCTACAAAATAGAGCGTTTTTAGTAGAAAGGAAAGCAAAAAAAATTCACTGAAAACTTAAAAACCACATTTTTTTACAAATTCTACAGTCTTCAGAGGAACGGAAGTGACGAGATTTCCAAAAAATCTGTTATAAACTTTCGCTTATTCTGTTCGTTTTTTTATCGAAAATTGTCTGATTTTTGATCAAAATTCGAAGATGGAAATGGATTTCAAAAGTTTTTACAAAGCGACGAAGGATTCGAAATTTATTTCATAATTTTTCGCGGAAAATGCCTTAAGATTGTCAGCATTTTTAAGCGAAACTTTAGAAAATTGAGCATTTAGATGAAAGAGTAACTTAGCGAAAACTGGAAAATTCTGAAATTGGAAGACATTTTAAAAACATTATTAATAAATGGCCTTAAAAAGTCATCAACATTTTCCCAGCAACGGAACTGAGTTGCTGCGCCGGTTCGTTGAATTGGCGCACCAAGCCATTTGCGCAGCACTGCACCAACTCCTAAAAATTCACTGAATTACCCAGGCCTAATTTTTGGACATCAATTGCAAAAAATTTCGCATAGATGCAAAATCGCTGGGCACGGCACTGGATAGAGCCGACTGGATAGGATTTGGAGTATCAACCCCCAAGTTTCGAACTCAGCGAAATCTCCAGGGTGGTTTCGGGCGAATAAATCGGCCTAGCGAACGTGAACTTAGACAAACCGCTGCCAATTTTTCGCACACTTGAGGGCCAACTTTCGGCCTTCCTTGATTGCTTTCAACCTATCGGCAATACCTGAAGACATTTCATCAGAAAGCGTTATTTTTGACTGAAAATACCCCATTATTGTCAAAAAAAGAAGAAAATCATCAGAAAATAATGCTTTTTGCGTTTTCGATTAAAAACTTTTAGTTTTGTGATCGGTTTTGGTGAAAACCTTAATGGTTTTCGGGAAAAAACGGTGGGGATTTATTTTCGTCTCTGTCCCAAATTCGACACTGCAAAAGTTTTTAAAATACTTTTACAAAGCTATAAATTTATCTTGTAATTTTTCGCGTAAAAGTCTTCCAGATCGCCAGTATTGTTAAGTGAAACTCTACAAAATAGAGCGTTTTTTAGTATAAAGTAAAGCAAAAAAAATCACTGCAAACTAAAAAAACACATTTTTTAACAAATTCTACAGTCTTCAGAGGAATGGCGGTTATGAGATTTCCAAATAATCTGTTATAAACTTTCGCTTATTCTGTTCGTTCTTTGATAGAAAATTGTTTGATTTTTGTTCCAAATTCGAAGCTGCAAAGGGATTTCAAATGTTTTTACAAAGCGACGAAGGATTCGAAATTTATTTCATAATTTTTCGCGGAAAATGCCTTAGATTGTCAGCATTTTTAAGCGAAACTTTCGGTTAGTTATAAACGGAACTGAGTTGCTGCGCCGGCTTGATGAATTGGCGCACCAAGCCATTGCGCAGCACTGCGCAACTCCTAAAAATTTACTGAGTTACCCAGGCCTAATTTTTGGACATCAATTGCAAAAAAATTGGATTGGGGTATGGGCACTGGATAGAGCGCACTTTGGAGTATCAACCCCCAAGTTTCGAACTCAGCAAAATCCCCAGGGTGGTTTCGGGCGAATAAATCGGCCTAGCGAACGTGAACTTAGACAAACCGCTGCCAATTTTTCGCACACTTGAGGGCCAACTTTCGACCTTCCTTGATTGCTTTCAACCTATCGGCAATACCCGAAAAGATTTCATCAGAAAGCGATTAATATAAAGCTGGCTGACTCATAATCTCTCCAGTCAGATCTTTAGGTGTTTGCTCGAGATTGGAAGCCCCATGTACTCACAGGGCGTCCCTTTGGGTCTTAATGAATGCCCTGCGAGCGAAATTCTCGCCAAGCACTCAACCAATAACAATTCGAACCGGATTATGCAACTGGCCAACGACAAAATGGCAATTCATTTGCATACCCGAGCCCATACATCACCAAGGCACATAAAACAGCTGAACCATGGAGAAATATTCAGCTCGGACCAAAAATAGCCGGCCGGATCCTGAATGGAGCCTACACACCCTCCAAGTCTGCACTCAAGGTCCGTGTTGCAATTAGGCGACTGGTACGTGCACGTATGCGAAAAAATGCACTTATCTCGCGAAAAAACCCAGTAGGCAGCTCCGTGCCGCGAAGGCCGGCTTTTTAGCTTATAAGCGAGGGTGTCTTTGATTCGGCACAATTTAGCAGTTTCAACCACACCAAGATGAAAGGCTTGGTAAGTCCTCGGGTGTCTCGACCATCAAAAAATCCGTTTCTACTAAAGAAAATTGCAGATTATTTTCTTCGCTCTTGCGGCTCTGGCAGCAGCCAAACCTGGTGGCTATGGATGGGGTGTGGCCCCCATTGCTCTTCCACTGTCCGTTTCCGGGCCTGTAACTTCAGGACTTCTCCTCTCAGGACCTCAGGTAAGCCCTAGCAACCCTTGGAAAGCCCCCGAAATAATTCAAGTGCATGCAGAGCACTGGAGCCATCATTGATGGCCCCAAAGATACCGGCGCCATCCTCACAGGCCCCAGCAGCACTGGAGCAGTTCTCACCTCCGGAGTCAGTCATGGATCGGTCCTCACTTCGGGGCCTTTGCTCCTCCCTTCACTCCCAGTCGCCTATTCGGCCCCAATCAGCTATGGCGCTGGTAAGCTAGTTCGGGCTCAAAGGGGCGAGTTATTGAGTGATAAATAATTTTAGCTGTGCTTACGAAAGGAGGCGGCAGCATTGGGGTTTCCGGTGCTGGGGCTGTGGTGAGCGGCCCCAAAACTGTTCCCGTTGTCGTTGAAGGGCCGTCGGGCAAAATTGCAGCGGACGGTCTGTGGGGCCCCACCCTAGAAGGCCTGCCCTACGCCTACTAAACTCGACAATAAACTGGCCCTTCCTTGGGCGATCCTGACGGGAATGAGCTGGCCAACGACCAAGGGCATTGGCTAATTCAGATCGAGATGCCTGCAGATAACTTTTTCTCACTTTACCCTGCTGAATTCGTCATTTTTCTTGCTGCAAAGCACTCTTCGTTTAGCAACTCGGATACAAACCCGATTGGCCTGGCTGGTTCCCTGATGATGGCCGCAGGAGTGGCTCTTGGAAAAACCGCAACTGCCTCCACCTGTCTTTAATGTGTAATTATTTATTTTCAATAGAGCAAACTAGTTAGCATGAAAGTCATTGTTTTTCTCTACTACGCATAGATTTTAATGTTCCCAGATAAGAAGGGCAATTTGAGTTTGGTTTCTCAAAGTTTTCTAATGGCTGGTGGTTCTGCTGGCCATTCCTTATGTAATCACGACTAAGGCAATTTCTTGTAGGTATACCTACATGTGTGTATGATATATTAAGAACGTGTTGGTTACGTGCCTAAGTAACACGGAAAATAATGAGAAATTGTAACATAAACCGCTTTTTTCATTGGGAAAATTGAAATAGTTCTTGTTTTGCTTATCTAGTGGGTGTGCCGCGAGACAAAGAACTGCTTGGTCGAGGTGACATTGCATTATTGCATATTTTCTTCATTATGGTATCCTGGTGGCGAAAATCCAATGGTACTGAGGTGGAAACATTATCGCTTTGTATGCGAAACGGCCCCGAACTGAGACTCTTTGCATTTCGTGTTTCACATTCATTTTAATGCATTTTTTATCTTTCGAAGAAACCCGACTGAAAATGTTATAATAGCCGTTTTTATTCGAATGCATCTAAAACTGCAATTTTTCGATCAGAAGCTTTAGAAGATTTACTTTTACATACGGACTTTTACGCACATGTGCGCACAAGTAAATCTGACAAATTGAACGTATCATTGTCATTATATTTTCAATAGTAGTTTTCGATACAAGGGCGAAAAACGGATTTTCGCCCTCGTGTCGAACAATATTTTTTCTTCGAATAAGGACATAACACGAATAATAAGTTATAAGAAATAAAAATAGCCAAAAATAAAGGCCGTCAACTTCATATATAAAGCTTGATGTCAATGCCATTTTTGAAATTGTCATGTTTTGACGTTCGTAATTTTTCAAAAGCGTACTTTTGTAAGCATATACAAGTGAAACAATGAGTGTTAACAATTCAAGTGCTGCTTTCACGGTATGGTGTTGCATATTTTGCATAAAATTTGCGATCTTTAAAAAAATCGTGTTTTGCTTGTGGCAACATCGGCGAGCACAAAAAATAAACCATTTGAACGACTTTGAAGACTGAAATTGTAACAAAGTTATAATTTACAAATTGTAAGTAAACTTTAAATTATGACCAATAGTTCTCTTTAAACCTACGTAATTTCTTGAAAAAGCCTGTCGTTTACTTTTTAATGAAAATACTTTCAAATATTTTATGACAGTGACAATTTTAATTTGTCAGATTTGCTTTTGCGCACATATCCGTAAAAGTCCGTGCGTAAAAGTAAAACAAATGAACAGTAAAGAAAGGTGCTTCTTTTTGATCATCGCTTCTGACCGAAAAATAACACTTTTAGATTCATTCAATAAAAATAATACTTTGATCAACAATTTTTCTTCATCAAAGTGCGTTTTAACCACCTTCTATTCATTGACATTTGCTACTTCTCTGTGACATAACGGTGTTTGTTTATTTTCTGTTCTTCTTTGTACCATTAATTGGCTTTGCTTGCCTTCGATGATGAAAAAATATTGGACTGAACTCTCACTGATTTAAACAACAACCTTTTATCTACACTTCTTGATTACAACCAACTAATATGTAACAGGATGTTTTTAGATTATGAAAAATACAAATTGGCAGTTTTATAAATTGATTGACAAGAAAAAACCATTGACATTGTGGACCAGTTCCGAACATGATTGACAAAAACAATTGACATTATGGACCAGTTCCGAACAGTGTTTGTTGAAAGCTGTCATGGTGACAGTTTTGCGCATTTTTGATGAATGAGGGAGGATATTTAAACTCTTGGAAATCTCCTTCTCCATAGTTTGAAATTCGTAATTGCGCTTTAGGAGTTTCAAAAATCCAGTTCGTCTTTAATAAAAAATGTATTCCCAAATTCCATTTGGGTTGCTGTCATTTCATTGCGCAAAATTAGTTGCAGGTTTGATGGCGCCACTCCTGATCGGTTCCTTAAATATTCCCAACATTTTGTGGTTTTTTCACATTTTGCGGGGAAAATTGCCTATTTTTCCATAGAAGAGTTCACTTTATCGTGTAGTGCTATTTTCCGGGCTGGTTGTGCGGTTTTAGACACGATAACAGGATTTCCCTAATTGGACCCATTCTGACTGTTCACTGATAACCTTGAAAGATAGATGACAGATTGAAGTATTAAGACGCTAATTTTGGCATGCGAAACAGCTTTATGCTTCAATTCCCTTTCAATCAATTTGTCTTCTTTCCTTCTAACATTCAACGGCATTCAACAAGAATGTTAACTTCGCCAGGCTCAATAGTGCCAATTTTGCGGATATTCCTTCTCTAGCTCGATTGGGGCCTTTTATGTTTGAAATGTTTTTTTTATACAAAGCGATTGAAAATTGGCATCATTCTTCAGTAGGCATTGCATGGGAGTACAGAAAAAATAACCTACTATTGGTACCTACTAAATACGTTTTTAGCTTTACAAACTCTGGAAATTTGAGCCTAAAAACCATCTTTATGCAGGTAGTGAAATCGGCACCATCAGCATAAGGAATCGTAAATAATTACTGTTAGTTATCCAGGTGCAGTTCCCTGTTCTCTGTTTGGACTTGGATTCAATAAGTAATCGAGCACATTTCAACAAAGAGCTTGATTTATTCATTAGTTACGAAAGGTATTATTTACAGTTGTAAAATAGTCAACATAGTCTTTCGATCCATACTATTTACACTATACTATGCAATTCTGGTGGCCAGCGTCTACCATTTCTTCCATGAGCCAGAGTCGCCTCTCCATTGGCCGTCGTCTTCGCCCCATCCGCCGTTCCATGCGCCTATCGGTTCACGTGTTACTGAGCGAACCAATCGAATTAACGCCAAACTAGCGACTTACCGTTGTCACCTTTCCATTGGCCGTCGTCTTCGCCCCATCCACCGTTCCAGGCACCTGAAAGGTTCAACGATTACGTAAAACCTACGAGTTTCTAAATAAGTGTTTTGCTTACCATTGTCTCCTCTCCATTGGCCGTCATCACCTCCCCAAGCACCTGCAACATAAAATTGCGTTCAGACTCAAAGGGTGAGTTGGTGTAGGGTCTTACCTTCGCCCCCCCAGCCGGCTTGAATGGCGTCGGGTCCAATGGGGCCGTTCTTGGTGATGGCACCAGATGGTCCTGAAACGGCGCATTAGTTTGCTTGTAAGGAAAAAAGGGTCTGGCAAGGTACCTTTTAAGATAATATCGTTGCCTCCCCATGCACCTTCTCCTTTCCATGAACCGTCGTCACCATCCCAACTGCCATCGTCACCAGACCAGGCTCCAGCTCCCACCCATCCAGCGCCAGCGCCACGACCATCAGGTCCAATGGGGCCATTAGGGGTGATTATGCCAGAGGGCCCCTTCAGGATGATGCCTGCATGGGCTGAAGCGCAGAGCGCCAATGTTGCAACCACCTATAGGGAAAGATGGCATTATCGGTGGCGCTTTGCAGGTTTGCTTAAGGGCACTTACCAGAAATTTCATGTTAGTTATTTCGATGAAGAAACCGAAAGACAAACTATAACTCAAACTGGGCTGGTTGATACTTATATAGATCAATCAGTGGCCTTCGAAGACAACGAGGAAAATGCGTTAATTCTTGTACCAAATGGTGGCGACCTGGGGTCATTATCATAACGAAACGCAGTGGTGGAGGCTGACCGTTTTTTCTTTGGCGCTTGGTTAAGGTGCGTACCGGACAGGTGGTGAATGTGGGCGGGTTCAGCCGATCCTTCCCGGGATTTATTTGAGCGTTATCATCAATAAGGGATAAGTTTAAGGTGCAGCTTCTGTGAAATATGGACATTTCCTTCATAAAGCCCTCTGAAAGTACTGCTTTCTCCCCCGTCCCTGATTAGATTAGAAATGGTGCATACATCGGTGGCAATTATCACATTTTGCATTCATTAATAATTAGCCGCTGCTTAAGTTCAGCGCTTTAATTGCGCGGCTTTTTTCCAACGAAATTAAGGCCGCCGGGAAACTTTACATAACAGAAACTCTGGCAGGGCTTATGGAACATTTCTTCCGCAAATTGCCCTATTTTAGGCTACAGGTAAGGTGTGAAAACGGAATTTTTCAAGTTCAAATTTGTCAATAATTCGGCAGATTGAGTCAGAATCGTCAGGACAAGTGGGGCCAATTGCTAATTACTGTGCGCGTTGCCTTAATTGATTTCTATCTCGACCTTGCCGGTTTGTTGGCGTTTTTCTGCCGGAAAAAATATTTTTTGGCTTGCGGAAGAACAAACACATCAAAGTTTTAGTTAATTGCGTCGAATTTTACAGATTTTCAAAAGTTGACATCAAGATATCGTCTCAATAGGGTGATTTTTCAGTTTTGACAAATATAATATTTTCAAATCACAACCAGAGGTTTGCTTGGGGTTCTTTTGATCTGAAACTGGGTTCTTTAAAGTAGGCCTTTGTAGATACCAGATATTGCAAACGACCAAATTTCTTGTCGTTTTTTCAAGGGGCTGTTGCCCTTAAATAAACAAAAAAACAGTTACGGTTTGCCTACTTGTTCAGTACTACACGTTTTGAAGCATTTATATGTGGACACCCTGTATCTTTCTTCAACGTTTTGAAACATCAACCAAACATATTTACATTACAAAACAACATTTATGATTGTAAGCAAAAAATAGATACTTGTGGGCAATACAGAAGAAATGTTTTAAAAACGCAATTTTGGGACCACACTGTATACAGGGTGATTCAAAATTGGCGTCATTCCGTTTAAGCGGTAATAGGGGCTCACTTGAATATACGAGAAAAATATTGTAAATTTTTTTTCGATAATTTCTAGAAGATATTAACAGTTGAAAATCGAATTTCAACTTTGCTATTAAGCATTATTTTGAAAGTGTTCCGTGTTTAGTTGGAAGCATATTACTTAAGCATATAAACTTAAGCGTTCAAAAACAAATATTACGATCTTTGCTTCAAATTAAGAATTTTTTTTTAATTTCTAAAGTTATCTTCTGGGGCCAACAAAGGGCGAGGAGAGTGGTTCCAGGAAGATAGTGGACGACAATTGATGTTCGGGTTCCAGACACAGAGGAACAAGTATTGGACATAATTGCAGCAGAGCCTTTCAGAGGCACTCAGAACATTGCATAACCACTGAAACTTTCCCAGGCACCAAAGAAATACCGACTACATTCCTACCACGTATGTAAGATCACATTAAACCAATGGATTACTAAACACCGGTATAAATTGAACAGGAGTTAATTAACCGAATACGAGAAGAGTGCATAATAAGGTGTTTACACAGGCACTTGTTTGAAGTTACAGACTCAAATGTATGTTTTTGTAATTTGTATACAAATTAATAATTCGAGGTTATGAGTTTCGAAATAGGTTCCGTCATTCAACGATTCCTGTTGATTTTACCGTTTATCCTTCTCCATCTTATTGTCATTTTCTCTATTTATTCATGGTTACCGGAGTTTTAAATAATTACGAGCAACAGATATTTACGTACTGTTAATTAGGCAGATTACCTTAGAAAACATTGTTGCCGTTTTTCTAATATATTTTCTTGCAAATTTCTCAGTTTTTAATAACAATTAATTTTTTTCAATATTTTTTCTGTACTCCTAAAACATCGCAGACAACACCTCCAGAGGAATTATGCCAATTTTGAATCGCCCTGTATCTTCTAAAAGTTATCGGAAAAAAAATTTCAATATTTTTGTCGCAGTCCCCAAGTCAAGCCCTTATTCCCCCTTAAAAGAAATTACGCCAATTTTGAATCATCCTGTATATTAGCTTAAACGGCGGGATCGACTTATTGCTATTCTGTATACGTAAATTTTGACGTTCAGTTAAAAAATCCTTAACAAACAGGTATTTATGCAATGTTAATTAGGCAGATTACCTTAAAAAACATTGTTGCCGTTTTTCTAATATAGTATTTTGCAAATTTCTCAGTTTAATAACAATTAATTTTTTTTGCTATTTTTTCTGCACTGCTAAAACACCGCCAGACAACACCTCCAGAGAAATGACGCCAATTTTGAATCACCCTGTATACATTAATCCAGAGAAACCACAATTTTTTATTTTCTTCATCTGCCAGGCGTTCAATTGTAGTAAGTCCAGTGTGTGAAAACATGCATACAGCCAATCGTAAACATTCCTGCCCTTGTAAAGTTACGTATTTGTCGAGGAGAAAAAATCAAGGCGTTGACTTCGAGCGCAAACCACACCTTTGCTGGATATGTGTGGTATTTGGTGAACAAAAGAGTCGAATATTTGTTCCCCTAGAGGCAGGATTTCACATTATTTGCCCCGATATGCGGCAGCGGAACGGTTTGGATGCATTTAGCAGTAAACTGATTGATAATTCCTAGTTCTATCGATCTGTTGCAAATTCAAAAGGATTTAAATATGTTGAACATTGCAAAGGAGGGATTAGGACCCATTGAGAAATGAGAAAGTAACTGAAAACTTGAGGAGGAAAAGTATGAATAACTGCGCCGAACATGTAATATACCGTGTGAGGGTGTGAGGGTGAAGCAGGATTGCAATAACTGTTTGTATCTGGACAAAATGCTATATTAGTTTATTTATTGCAAGTCCACGAGTTTGTCAAGAATTTGCCTATTACAAATCAGTTTTCTGCTTTTACTAACAGAATACGTTGGTATAATTCATACAAGAAGTTTTGCATTTAACAGCCGCCAAATTAGCAGAGTTAATCTTAATCATCCCTTAGATTGGCAATTGGATTGGAGAGTTTGATCAAAATTCACAAATAATTTTGATGAGTTTTCAATTATTCATTTCCTTCCCTTACGAAACCCCCTTCAACCAAATCGGATGCTTTAGAACGTACGTTTCGGCTTATAAACTCTGATTCATCTA